GTGCTGGAACCAGGGTTGTTGAGGAAAAGAAGACATACCCTGACTTTTCAGTGCTATCCAGAGAATGGACAAGAGGAAACAGGCAGAAATAGAAATTCAGTATATTTCACCTAAATGTAGGAAAAAAACTTTTTTTTATCTTTTTATTTTATTTTATTTATTTTTTTTTTTTAATGATATAGTCAAGCACTGAGGCAATGTCTCCATCTCTGGAGGTCCTCAGAAAATGACTAGCCATATTCTTGAGCAGCCTATTTTAGCTGACTGAGCCCTGAGCAGCAGTACTGGATTGAACTTTAAGCCCACCCAGTTCCAATGGCCTGCCATGGGCTGGCTGCCCCCCACCAGGCTGCCCAGGGCTCCATCCAACCCAGCCTTAAGCACCTCCAGGGATGGGGCAACACAGCTCTCTGGGCAGCAGTGCCAGTGCCTGAGTAAGCAACTTCTTCCTAACATCTAACCTGTATCTCTCTTCTTTTAATTTAAATGCATTCCCACTTGTTCCATCACTATCTTCCTGTGTAAAAAGTCAATCCCTTCCTACCACTTATGGTGGTATTTCCTGCATGAAAATAATAAACAAACAAACAAACAAAACCCAAAATAAGACAGCACTGAAAAAAATACAACAAATTAGCTGGGATGCATCTGACTTTATATTGTGATCTTCCAGCCATGCAGCTCCAGACTTTGGATCCCAGCTTTTAGCAAGTGTTACTTCTGGAACATTGTCCTTTCTTACATGCCAGTGAGACCTTCTGCTTAAGACTTCCAGTAAAATTTCTGCTATATTTCACTTTGTCCCCAGCTCCTATTGATGACAGAAGCCCTGAAAGCAGAGGTTACAGGGAGTGACACTGCCTCTTGTCCTGTTCCTACTACACAATGCACCTTACCTGTTAGGAACTAATGCAGCAAAAATTAATCTGCCATCCAGTTGGTACAGTTGCACAGGTTTGACTCTTAGTGCTGTATGTTTCTAAAGGCTTAATTTTAGTATGAGGTACAAAGCACCTGGATGGCTCCTAATGCCTCCAGTCCATATACCAGCATCTGAATTAGAATCATGCTGCTGGCTTACAGCTAATAGCAAGCAAACTTTTATTCATTGTCTACACACAATGGAAAGCGCCTCTCTAAAAGGAAGCTTAGGAGTAGGATAAAACAAAGAGGAGAGATTTAGTTTAGAAAGTAATGCAAGAGAAGGCAGCGCATGAGCTCTAGAGAAGTGCTATAATGCCTTCGAACACTGGGGGGCAAGCAAGCACTCAGCCTTAGGGATGGAAAGAGGTACTCGATGCTTAGGAAGATAGCAGGTCCGTTCCCTTTCTCCCTTGGAGCATTCTCGTTTTTGATGATAATTCCTTTCTAAAGCAGTCCTTCCCTCCAGCCCAACACCCCCCTTAATTCTGCAAATAATTATATAAAGCAACACAAGGCAATACTCTCTGGCTGGATGTACCCGCACAATGTGAAGTCATTACTTTTAACATACAGGCAAAAGAGTAGAAAAGGGGAGACACTGTATTAATTTTCAAGAAAAAGCTTTATGAAATGCAACTAATGAATACACCTTGAGTAACTAAACAAGCTTACATGAAACTGGAAAAGCATTATAGAGAACTGAATTGTGAATTGCTTTTCAGAGGTTTATTTTGCTCAAGCAGCTTCAAACATTGCTTAAATGAACAAAAGAAGGAGCAGGTATGGAATGAGAAATGAATGCTGGAAACTTACAGGGGAAAGGTTTGTACATAATGTTCATACAGCTTTATCATGACAAAAGTAATTTGAACACACTTCATCACAGATACTTTCACCTTCTTCCTGCATGAAGTAACTCATTTTCTAGTCCAGAATTATCAAACATCATTGCCACACATAGTTACACTGCTTTCTCCCCATCTTTTGACATATTGTAGGGGCTGGTAGCAAGTTGCAGACACCAGTGCTGAAACTGTGAATTTTACCAAGCGAAGATATTAATGATTCATGACTGAGAAATTGTCACCCATTAACCCCTTTTTTGCTAGTTCAAAAGTCAGAGAAATCTACTGAAATCACTGAGAAAAGATGAAAACTGGGGAAAGAAAAAAAAAAAGAAACTGTGACATAACTAATATTGTAGATACTCTTTGAAGAGAATCAAAACTTCCTCTAACATTTCAGTTATGTAACAAGCCAGTTTATTAAATTGGAATAAATGAAAAGCACTTCTAAGAGAAAAAAAAATGAAAGAGGTGGGAAGATGGCATTGTTTCCTGCCCCTTTTCATTAAACCACAACCAATTCTGTTAAAGTGGGACGGAGGAGGGATTGATTATTGCAAAATATCTGCATCTTCATCTAGGTGCATCATTTGTCTAAACACAAAATGGACCTTTATTTGATTATATGTATATGGAAACAAAACTACAAAGATCAGGTGAGTCCCATTTAACTTCAAAACTCATGTTACTGCAATAAAAGCTGATATTATATGCCTTAACGGAATATACTGATAATTCGTTTCAAGTCCTGAACTAATGCGGAAAGAGATCGAAAAGGTGGAACTTCTTGAAGTAATAGCATCACAGTGAAGTTCTTCAGTGCCTATACTATATTTCAAGTGCTGAAAAAAATACCTGTTTTCTCCCTTCTCATGAATTTGCAACATTTTAAATTATTTTCAGTGAAATATGGAAAGTATTTTTGGCTTTAGAATGAGCACCTTCATAAATCTTCAGTTTTAAATAATGTTTTTCAAATTGCACTTCTTTTGTTGTTCTCTTGCCTTCTGACAAAGACACATTAAGATGGACGTAACTTTAAGTCTTAGAATCAAATATAGGACGAATTTCGAAGAAAAACTGAATCTACTCTGTTGTGTGTTCGATAGATTGCAATTCATTTTAAAAGAAAAGATAATGAGAATGATGATATGAATGTTTGGAACAGTATTCTCTGAGCAAATTTGTAAATAAAAGAATTGATTTATAAATTAATGACATCTCCCTTCTTCTTTCAGGTTCACGATTTTGATGTTGCTACAGATCTCAGTCACTCTGGATTTGAATCAGTGCCAGCTTTTGTTTTGTACAAGAGAGCAGAAATGGCAACAGCTATTTGAATTTCAATGTTCTGACTGCACTAAGCCTCAAGGAAAATATTGACAAAGACGTAAATAAATGCTGCCAGGTTCTTTTCTAGAAATTGAGCATTACATAGTAACTCGTCCTCAGCTCTTAGAAGATGGGCCTACATGCTGCTTTTGAGTTTGGTAGTCCTGAACATCTCCTCCTTTCCCCATTTTTAGCCTTTCTCTTTCCTTAAAATTTCCTCCCCCAGGGAGATAGTGCATCAATGGAAAATAATGATGACAATAAGTGAATTGAGATTAAAACCATCCTTCATTTTCTGTCTTTCTTCTGTTTTTTGTCCTGGTTGCGCCCTTGTGTTCCAGTCATCCCAGTGCCCGCAATATACCCACAGAATGTTCCAAGCACAGCCCCATGCCCCACTCTTTCAATCTCTTCTATTCTGTGGGTGTAACATGAGAGTGATTAATGAGGAACCTCCAGGCAGAAAAAGCCACGGACCGCAGATTCTTCACAGGGCATGATGAAGGAGCTGTGAAGAAAAGCAAGGTCTGCCATGAACTGAGCCCCATTTGGGGCCTGCAATGGAGATACAACCACCAAGAGAATGCAACTGAGGTTTCCACAGGGTTGTTATTATATACATAATATGTAAGTATATATATTATATATATAATTTTTATAAATTTATGTAAGAGAAATTGCATTTTTTTTTTCCTGAGAATAAATGGCTCTACCCTGGTTTTGAAAACAAAAACAAGGTTGCAGTTGGTGAACCTGTGCAAAGGCTTCTTCTCTCCCTCAAATCCAACCACTTGTACGTAGCAGTGCCTCTTTACTCCGTATGCCCCTACTCCAAGAGCTAATCAGCTCTGAGATGATGGTGTTGATCATACATGTGCAACGTGTGCTTAAAAACAAACAAAGAAACACAAAATCCTAGCTGGCAACACTTTTTCTCTGTACTGCTATTCATTAACAATATTGCATTAGTGGACATCTTCATGAGGAGTAGCAAATGGGTATGACAACCTCCAGAATAGAGGAAGCGCAGCTTAAGTATAGCCTACCATTTTCACAGACAGCACTCAGAAACTTCATAGGTATGAAGCTCAGTACTCAATTAAATACAAATAAGGAGACTTCAGGATTTATGGTGTAAGTTAGAGGTATTTTTGTACATAATTCATGACGGACTTCGCAGAACTCAATTAATTTACAGTAGTCTGTAAAGAACAAAAATAAATCAAAGCTATACGTATGGAAATGCCTATGCATGGAAAATAGAGAAATAAGATAAACTGAATATTGTAAAATTCAGTGTCAAGATTTGAGTGGTGTACCACCATGGACGTAATTTTTTGTGTGCCAAGTTTATTTTTTCATTTATAAATGAAATCATGAAGCTAGAGTTTTAAGAGAGAAGGAATGGCAGGTGTTTCCTGTAGATTGATTGTGTAGGTGCCTAAGCAAAGATTTGCAGAGCAGCCTTAGGCAGACTTTAATGGCAAGCTCAGTCAGTGCTGTCATTTCAATTATACACAAACAGCAGGACACAATAAAACAATAACTTTACAGATATATTTTTAAGCAATAAGCTTCAACTTTTTTTTACACTCCAGCCACCTTCCATGCCCAAACAGGATTTCATGGCAGCAGGGAGGTAACTTATCCCCTTTAACAATAGCATGAGGGCTGCTTCAAAAGTAATGCCTTCTATTTTATTGTACTGGCTCACAATGTCAGAGGTGGGTGTTGGTGCTCTGGCAGCAGAGGTTGAACTTTCCCACCATATTCTATTACATTTAGTTGCAACAGATGGCAGCAGAGGGGCATTTTGACTAAATGGCATCTGACATGGAAGTGCAGATGAAGCAAAGGTGTGTCACTGAATTCTTTCGTGTGAAAAAACATCACCCATTGACATTCACCAACACTTGCTGAATGTTTGTGGAGATCAAAAGAGTGGATATTGGCATGGTGGTGGGTGGTGCGACAGTGGGCCATCTCCACTGATGAATGAAGGCTTTCTTTCATCACTGGCAAAGGTACGTAGCTAATGGTGGCATTTTGCAGGTGAGAATTTGCTTTATCGAAAAGTGTAATTGTCTCTTTGAATCTGTCATAGCTTTTGTGGAAATAAATAGGAGGCATTACTTTTGGAGTGACCTACATACTAACCATGCAACATGGTGACACATGACCTCTGACACCTGCTTGATGCTCCTGCAGCTTTAGACCATCAAAAGGAATATCCCCAAAACTAAGATGAAAATGAGAAGAAAAAAAAAAGTTTAATCTTAGCTCTGTTCAATCAACTTCTTCAATTCAACACATACTTCATCTATTCTCTTCCACAAACTGATAATGAGTTTCACGATGACTCCTCATGTAGGGTATCAACATACCACAGGCAGATGTGTCTTCAAGTGTAATAGCATGTCCATGCACTGAGGTCAGCAGGAAGGCAGTAGTAAAGCACTCAGAATGGAGAAGCTTTCTACCTGAGGCATTAGGCAACCAATTTCATCAAGTCTTCACTTTGTGGTTAAGTGATGCTCCGTAATTGCAGCTGCTCCAAGCAGGTAAGGGAGGAGGAGGTACCAGCAGTACCAGGATGGCAACAGTGCTGATCTTCTGGGTTTTTTTCTTCCAATTGTTTCACACAGTCTTACCTCACATATCGAACACAAAAAGCAACAAAGCAGCAGCCAACCAGTGCCACCATTGATGCTGAAATCACAGTGACTGCACTGCCGGCAACACTGACCAAGAGACCAAGGCCCACACCAAGAATGATCTGTGCCAGCTGGACCATGCAGGTGAGAGCAGCACAGTCAATGCCCTTGCCTCTCCCGTGCTCCATGCCTTGTTCTTTCTGCTGCAGATTCAGGTCCTGGAAATAAACACAAACAAGACTTAAACAGGACTTAAACATAAGCTGAATCCCTCATGCCATGGCATCCAGATGCAGCAAAACAGGCCAATAGCTCTCTGCTTCCTTTCTGGTTTTAGTGTCTGTCCCACAGAGGTTACAAAATTCAAACAGAGATTGTTCAAGTGATAACGATTTTTCCAAACTGTCCTGTTTCCCTCATCAGCAACTTTATCTCTTCTCTCAAGGGAAGAACTGAAACTTGATCAGAAAAAATGACTGCTTCCTTGAAGTACAGCTCTACTTGAGCTCTGGCAAACTAGAACAAGAAGAAAATTTCACATGGCAGGACACCTCATCAAGAATATTTTAGCTCCAACTCTCACATGGCTGAATCACAGAATCACCTAAGAGTAATGTAGTGGAAAAAAAAATAGAAAAGACCTTCAAGGTCAAGTCCAACCATACAGGGATCTTCAGGGGAATACTGAATCATACTACATCCCACAATTTGTTCTAATGGAGCTCTGTGATCTGAAGTTATACTAGATGCTCTGAAGTTACGTCTCAGAGCATATGAAAGAGTTCAGTATTAAAACCTAAGTGTGATGTTTTTATTGCTAAAAAAAATTCTGAAAATGAATGAAGAGACAAATTCCTCTACATACAGAACACAATCGTTAATTATTTAAATTAAAATTGCATACATATTTGAGCAAAAGCCTTCATTTATGGTATATGAGCATCTCATACACAACCTCACCCGCTGTGAGGTTTGGAGAACACTGAATCAGTTTGTTTAGAGCTGCGAGACTCCAACCAGGAAGATCTTCAAAACTGCAATGGACAAGACCATGGACAACCTGCTCATGGTGACATTACTTGCACAGAGGTGTTGGACCAGATGATCTCTGGAGATTCCTTAAAGACTCAGGTTTAATTTTGTGAACCCTTTCCACAAAGACCTATTCTATTTCACAATATAATTACATGATGATAACTAGATGTTTATTGTTCTTACTGCTGTTTGGCGAGGTTTGCACTGTAACAGACAGTTTCCATGCTGTACTCTAGCTGAGCTGCTCTTTCCTAGTATCCAAATGCTCTTGACTGTGATTAGGATGCTTTTTGCAACACCTATTACACTGCCTTTGAGTTTTACCACACAAAGCTGAAAAGCAGCAGAAGCCAATAGTGCCTTCTTAATCCAGCAGGACTGAAAATGAATTAGGGTCCTAGGGAATGGCAGTGTGGAACAGGAATTGAAATGGCAGCAATTTAAAACCCAGCGTATGATATTGGTAGGTTATACACTAAGGAAAGATGTCTGTTCTTTGTTCTAAAATAATGCAGTGTTTTCAATTCAAGACACAGGTTTTTTTAATTACATTTATTTTGTTGGGCTGTGCCCAGCATTCCTATGTGTCAGTTGTTCCTACCACATAATATGAATGTGTAAGTGAATGTAATTTTGCACTTGACGTTTCCTTTTCTATGATACTTTTTCTATCATCTCATACATTATAGGAGATTTAAGACAAACCAAATTCTGTTAATGTCAGATCTAACATACGATTGTCATTTGTCAAAAGTCACAGCCATCTGCCAAGTGCTCCTATAAATGACATTTGAAGATATTAGCTTATTATATTTTAAGTCCATGTACATTTCAGCATATTTCATTTCACTTTTGTTTTGGAACAGGTCTGATTCAGAACTGCGCTGTAATTTTGCCTTTATCTCCTCTCTCTGATTTGGTTGTCTCAAGGTCAGGATTGTGATCTCACCCTAAACTGGGTTCAAACCTTGCACTTTGTAAAATCTGTCTGAAACTCTACATTGTAATTCTTCCTTATTGGAAAGAACAGAAATTAACTGAAAAATGATTAAGCAGATCTATGAAATATTTAATCAACTTGAAATGTCCTCATAGGATTCTTCGACTATTTTAGAGTTTCCTCGTGTTCATCGTTCAGATGGTGATGTTGAGAAATCATACAGAATAGTAGGAGGTACTCTCAGGGCTTAATATAGTCCCATTTCAACAATGTTTTTTATAGCTGGTTTAAACTGTCTTTTGTTGTGTTTCAGTATTTTCTTTATTCATTTCTTCAAATGCCACTGGACATAATGAAAACTTTTCCTTAGTTCTTCCAATTCTCCTTTATCCTGCTTGTTTCTGACTTTCTTACCAACTTGCTAGAATGTTTCCATTGAAGACTACAACGCCTTAAAACATGTGAAGGTCCAGCTGAGCCTAGAAACATGACATGAAGAGCTCAGGATTTTCCAGATTCCCTTCGCAAACAGAATGTGAGGGACCAAAAAGAATGCCAGAAGAGTAAGAACACAGAATACAACTTCCTACAGAACTACACAAAACTTTTTGTGCTTGAACTGCATATCATTATTAGATAATAGGTTTTCATAACACTCTGCAGTTAGCTAAAGCTTCTGGTGGCCTTCACAGGGTGGTTATTAACCCCAGGGACTCAGAAGTCAGCTCCTCAGCTAACATGAACCAAACTCATCTTCCCTGAAGTAACAGCAGCTACTCGTACTGAGCCCCAGCTGCCCCTTTACTTTTAAAGAGTACAAAAAAACCTTAGTGATTTAGATTTTATTCTCAGGCAGGAAATCCTTGAAGACAACAGAGGTTGGCTGGATCTCTATAAGCAGCTTGCAGCCTCAGCACATACTGCAATTGGCCTTATCTCAGTTGTGATTATTCTTTGTCTTAATGTGGAACTATGGAAACTCTCTGGAGCTGGGGCCTTAGCTGAGGGCTGTCATCTAGTTTCAACACAGCTTATAATATCAGTGTTGTTTAATAAAGATCTCTATTAACAGAAACTTTCTGTTCATATCATGTCACCATAAACAGTTTGAAATTTATAATTTTAAACCCATTCACCCCTTCTACCAATGTTCAGCCAAAATAGACTAAACAGATTCAAACAGACACAAATTTGCCCTTTCTTACACTTTCGACTTACCTCTTCTTCTTTGTGATACTCTGCAATGAGCTGGAACGGCACAGTATACAGAGTGCTGGACATGACTCCAAAAAGTGAACACAGAACCAAAGTGGAATAGACATTGGGAAACAAGCCAATCAACCCAGTGCCTAGTCCAAAAAGTAGGTATCCAATGAAATAAAGTCCCTTTAATCCTGTGTATGGTAGAAGGACTTTCTGCAGGTCTGTGGAAAGAAAGAGAAATTGTTGCCAAGAGTGAATCATAACAAGCAACATTTCATCAGGGAATTCATTTAGGAGTTTTGTTTTGTAAGATGCAGTGAAGGGGAAAGGCTTACTGATTTTAAAAGTTGCTTGAAATTACTGTGGTTACAAATTTGCTGCAGAATGCTTCTTTCTGATACTCTTACTCTGGCATTACCATCTCAGAGAAGTTGTTAACAGCGGTTCTGGAAGGACCACCCCCATGGACAACTTGAGACATTTCCGCTGTTCAGTTGCAATAAAAACATTTGGCATCAACCTCTGTCTGAGCTCAGAGTGGCGCTACAGAAATGCCTGTAGTTGAGCTCCAAATGGGATTTCCCTCAGGCTCTTGTAGATGCTCAATTCTCAAAACACTACTAGTTTTTGGATTGTAAGATTTTTTTTTTTTTTTTTTTAATTCTGAATGAGAGCTATGGTAACATTTATCAAGGAAACTTGCTAATATATTTACACACAATTTTGGAGAACAAGGTCTATGTTTTTGGCAAGGCCTTCCATGTAATTATAATAAAGTTTATTTGTGAGGAATGCAGATGGCAAGAAGCCACAGAATCACAGAATCACAGAATCACAGAATCACCCGGGTTGGAAGGGACCTCAAGGATCATGTAGTTCCAACCCCCCTGCCTAGCAGGGCCACCAAACATCCACATTTAGACCAGGTTGCCCAGGACCCCGTCCAACCTGGCCTTGAACACGTCCAAGGATGGGGCATCCACAACCTCCCTGGGCAGCCCGTTCCAGGGCCTAACCACTCTCCTTGTATAGAACTTCCCCCTAACATCCAACCTAAATCTTCCCTCCTTCAACTTCGATCCATTTCCCCTAGTCCTGCTGTTGTCAGCCCTTTTGAAGAGTTTACTCCCCTCGTGGGTGTAGGTTCCCTTCAGGTATTGATAGGCTGCAATGAGGTCACCCCGCAGCCTTCTCTTCTCCAGGCTGAACAAGCCCAGCTCCCTCAGCCTGTCCTCATAGGGGAGGTGCTCCAGCCCCCTGATCATCTTAGTGCCCCCTGATCATCAAGCCAAGAGAGGGCCTTTTGTAAACCTATAGCTACAGGACTGCTAGGTGAAAAAGTATCTCAGAATGATGCACACAGCATCCATTTCACTCTGACTTTTGGCTTTAAAATGATTTTCGGTGCTCAGGGTCAATTCACATGAAGGACAATGCCTTTCTCCCAGAGAGACACCTTTTCATGTTGTCCAGGCAAGAACTGCTCATGCTAAGATACAGGTTTCTAATGCTGCTGAGAATGTAATACTTGTTAAAATTTTCATGGGGGGGGGGGAAAGACATCATCAGTTATTTTGGCACTTTTTTTTTTTTTTTTCTTTATTTTTTTTTTTTTTTTTTTTAGGAATAGTGAACAGCAAAGAGGTTTTTGTTTGTTTGTTTGTTTGTTTTTCATAACAGTGCTGGAGTACATTCCTGGATACTTACAAGAATAGGCTGAAGATGCAATTGCATTGATGCACAACCCCCAGCATCCAACCTCCACTCCTCTTCTGTAGGTATGGTAAAGTGTGGAGTTATGAGAAGCATAAGGACTACCCTGGTACACAACCTAAAGAGACCACAAAGATCACAAAAGGCAAGGAATTATTGCATATATAGAATACCTCCTGCACAGAAAGACTGGCTAGCACCCAGGAAATCTTTCAACGAGTGCCCTCATCACCTCTGTGTTGTACTCTGTATTTCACACGCATTTCTGCCAGACTCTCACACACCAGGCTCTTCCTCATTTCCTGCCCTTACTTTTGCCTGTGTTAGCCACTCTATAAATACTCATCTGCTCTTTTTTCTTTGGGTGTTTCTCATTTTTTATTCTCCTTCTCTCTCCACTTCTGCCTTCTTGCTTAATCTGCTTACTCCTAACTTAGCTACAATTTCTTTTTCCAGACCTACCCCCACACACTCAATTTTTTCCACTCGGTCAATCCCTTATTTGGCCGCTTATCCAGGCAAGCAAAATCCTTTCTTCTATTTCTTTCTTCTTTAGTTGTTCATATACACTGAAGGAAACAAAAACTACCTCTTGTTTCTTCCACAGAGAGAGAAAAATCAAAAACACTAAGGCAAGGAAATGTAGACTTATGGGGAGCCAGAGTCATGTCTTCAAGTTCATAACAATACCTTCATTTGGTTTTGATGGAGAAGGAAATGCTATGAGGAGAGAAAAGCAAGAGGATTTTACACTTTTACCTGTCCCATGAAATCCGTGAAGAAGAGCATGTTGGACAGGAAAGCCATCCATCCAAAGAGGTGGCTCACACACAGATAGCGATAATGGGATGGCATGCTTAAAAGAGTCTTCAAGAGTGATTTAAGTGTCATCCGCCTTTGAGCCTAAAAGCAAGTATTCAACAATAATATTGCATGACAGCCCTTAATGCCAATAAAATTCTGACAGTACGTGGAGAAGACCTCTGTGTCTTTTCATGTTAAAATTCCAAAGTTATTTTGTTTTTGCTAGAATGGGTTGGTTGGGTGCTAAACGTCCTTCGCTACATATTTGATTTGTGGAATCGTTGCCTAATAAAGTCATCTGAAAGATGACAGGGACTCTCCAAGAGCTGGGGTACATCACAGTGGTATTTCCTGCTTTACCAGTCGTTAGGATTATTACTAGGCAAAACTTTCTGCCAAAACAGATTCAGTGGAGTTTCAAAAACCAAATCAAAATAAACCAATAAGCACCAAAAGAACTTCTTCCTGGGGGACAATCAGCTTACCACTGCAGATTTAAAGCTGCCATAGAAAAAATGAAAATCAAAAATATTTCCTCAGAATTAAAATACATCATCTGTAGAATACTGCATTTTTTATAGTTTCCATTCCCTACTAAATTTTGTGTTCCACCTATTTTGGTATACAAACACTATGAAATTTTCTCTATGGACTGCATCCTCCCTCAAAAAGCAGTGAGAGACAGTGATTTGTAACAGGAGAAGTAGCACCCAAAATAGGAGATGCAGCAAAAACCCTACTGGGTCCAGTACCTGAACATCTCCAGTCTTGTGGGAAAAACAACACATTTCAAAATCAAAACCTGGTGGGAATACATTAAAAAAAATCTCACTGACTGGGAAGAAAATTCTGACCATCTTCAATGTTCTATTTTATCTCTTTCTCCTCATCTGAACTTTCTGCTGAAAACCTCAGTCTCTTTTTCAATCACATTCATTGGTGTCATAGCTTCAGGTGGGATGAAATTGTTTTCATCAGTGTCTGATATGATGCTGTTTTGGCTCTAGGAGAAGAACAATGTTGATATAACACACAGTGTTTATAGTTGCTGCCAAGCAGTGTTGTACAGAGACAAACCCATTTGCAGCAAAGGGCCTAAGGACTTGGGAAGGAGCAGAATTAGGATGGCTCACTTAAAACATCCTGAAGGGTATTCCATAGCATATGACATCGAGTGGAAGGAATTTGAAGGGAGCTGGAGAGCTTGTCTCACTCTCTCGCACTGCAAGGCAGTGAGCTGGGCATCAGCTGAGAGGTGGTGAGAAACTGCTTGTGCATGAGTTGTTATATACATTCATATACACATATTTATTTGTCATCATTATTATCCTTTTCATTTTCTCTATCATAGTAAATAGTTTTACCTAAACCCATAAGTTCTGTTTGTTTTCTTCCTTTTGATTCTCTCCCCATCCCACTAGGAAGGGCTGGAGTGGGCAGAAGACTGTGTGGTGCTCAACATTCTGCTGGGTTAAACCACAACAATCAGATCACTGCTATCACTTGATTTTTCTCAGTACACCATTAATTCCTTTCAGTGTTCTAGCTACTTTTCACAGCTCTGCCTTTTGAACTAGGCTATGCTGCAAGCTGCTCTATGAAAGATCACCACATATAAAGTTAGAAAATATTTTACTCCAGTGAGAGGTTTTTAATCCTCATAGGAATTCATTTTGCTGACTTCTACCTTGAACTGCATACTGTGTAAAACCCTTGGAATTTCTCTTGGCATCACTGTCTCTTTTAACTGTGTTTTAAACAGGGAAAATTATAAATTCTCTACAGTTATACAAATAATAATAATAATAATAATAAATCTCATACTGACTCATTGTTTCAAGGATAATTGCTATTTTTTTACTTAGCTTATATAATTTCTTCAACTCTTCCACGCAGTTATTTAAAATAGTCTTCCTAATCTCAGTATAATGTCAGGGTACTACAAGGAACATCGCTGTAATTACAAATGATAATTTGACATCTAGAGAGGAATGTTTGATCTCTATTTAGATAATTTAGAAAGTGGAAATGGAAAAAAGTGTTTACTGCATATATTCAATACTTAACAGCAAACACTTTCTACACAGTTATTTGTAAATGAAGTTCTGAAGTCTGCCTCTGTTTAAGTGGTTTATCCTTCAAAAGTTCACAATACCCAACCCATTCCCCTATAAAATCACCACAACTTAAGGCCTAAGATGACTATTATGGACAGAGAGGGATCCATAGTAGAGGTTTTACAGCAGATCCTCAGTGACTTTGCACCAAAGCAAATAACAGAAGTAGAATAACTTTGGATTTTTATTCATACTGTAAGGGATCAAATCTCATTAATAACCTTGGAAGCAATTTGTATGCAAGAGCATATTCCTTAATTTAGATGAAATAGGGCCATGATGCCCACCGTGAAATAAAAAAGAGACGGGAAACCAAACCATTTCTTCAAGGAAGCAATTACAGTAATGAATGAATTTGTAAAGCATGTGCCACAGGAGACAGAACACTTTGGTGGTGAGAGCGTCTAGAATCTATCCAAGCCTGGACACATCGAAGGAACATGAGACAGATCAAAGCTCAGCAAACGACAGGCTGTCCAACTGAAAACTTACAAAGGAGGGCAATTGCACAAACTGGCCCACAGTAAACATCAGAGCTATACCTAGGGTGTCAGATGTTAGTGATTCACTGGGATTCTTGCCAAGCCAAAGGCTACCCCAATGCATCCCCTGCTTCCCTGGCTTCCTGCAAGGAATGTTCTCTGTGGGGGAAATGGCTCTTTTTCATTCACTTTCCATTATTTCAAAGCCCATGCTGACCAGTCAGTGCAACCAAGCATCTCTGACAATTCAGAGAACAATCAGAGTGAATAGTGCTGGTGAAGTTTACTGTGCCCCAAGCCGGGTGGGTAAGCAGGAAGCACACTGCAGTGTGCCAACCATGCTCTGCTAACAAACTGTTGCTTTGTTTGTGCATCTGGTATTCTCATCAGTCAGTGCCCATCTTTTAGTCTAGCTTTTTGTAGTGTGTAGCGCGATAATATTCTTGTTTGGTTTAGAAATAACAAATGCTATTAGAATACAAATGATAAATAGTAAAAGACAATAAATGAATTGTAATGGTAGCTTAAACTTTAGTTTAGGTTTCCATCATATCTAACTTAACCACCTGAGTATTCTTGGTAATTTTTAGCTGATTTCCCAAGACTTGTATACACAATATATACCTAACAAAACTAAGAGATAAGAAGTGAAGTTAAAGCAACAGGTGACTGTTTTATTATTCATTGCCATACTTGGATACAGACACATATTAGCCTTTGTGTGAATAGGATACCATGAAAGTGCAGAGAGGATTCCTGTTGATGACTTTTAGTGGTGAAAACCACTATCTGTTCCTAAGAGTATCCTACTTACATCTCTCTAGATGTTTTTCAGGTAGATTCACCTTCTCCTAGCTGTCTTAAATTGCAGCAATCTCTCATAAGATCAAAAAATAAACAAACACCACTGATTACCCGAAGTACAAGTTCCTCTCTGCCATCCCAAAGTTATGCCAAAGGCACAGCCCCAGCAACACTTAAAATTAAAATCGCCCCAGAAGTGATGTAGTATTGTTGCTTAGGCAATTTCAGACAAATCAGTGTCATCAATAAATCCTCAGTGGAACAGCGAGTGGCAGCCAATGGAGCATGGAATGAACTTTCATGTACTACATGTATTAGTACGTTGATTTCAATGGGAGTCACAGATTTATATCAAATATCATTGCTCTGTAGCTCCTGTCCACAATGTGATGTTAGTTCTACAGGGACTAATAGAAAAATTAGATCATCTTGACAAAATTTAGATGGGTAGGATATGAAGAAACTGACACAGAGTAGAAAACTGTATTTGGCTCTCCCTCAACCCTGCCAAAGCATCAGAAAGCATCAGGACAAGTTAGTTTCTGTCCCACTTGCTGGAAATACCTTGTAAATAACCAAAGAGAAAAGAAAGACTTTGATCTGACCCTTTATCCAGGTCAAAAGAAGAAAGAATCCAGAAGGAATATTTTTCTGAATATGTGTGTGAAAGGACTCTATTTCAGTTAGCCAGCAATAGCTAATTAAAAGGCTGCTGATGGTCTTCAGTAATGAAATGACTGGGTTATAAAATCGTCTCTGTTCTTACCTCTGTACATGATGTGTCAGTACCTTTCTTCGGCTTACTTGTAGCATTTAAGTCAGTACATGATAAGTATCCTTTCTTGATTTCCTCTATGGAGCTGTACTTATAGGGCTCAGTCACTTCCAACAAGAGCTTTGTCTCTTCATTGTCACATCTGAGTGGGACTTCAGGAATACTGCGTAGATGTACAATAAGGCAGATGAGGAAAACCAAGGCTGACAAGAGGAAAATCACCTGGAATTCTGACGTCAAGGTGTATCCTAGTACAGTTTCACCCCAGTCCACAGCACCTGTCAGGTAGCCCAGCGCTCCTCCTAAGCCTACAGGGGAGAAAAAGGGTGAAAGAAAATCTACTGGCATTTATAAATAAACAGTATACAACACTTGTGTGTTTCCCTCTAGAAACAGTGTGATTCCCTCTAGAAATGACTGGATAATCACTCCTCAGATATCAGGATATTCACTCCTCAGGCGTCAGCATATACAACAAGTATCAAAATAAATTGGAACTCAGAGGTAATCACACATGCAAGCACCTATCAAAATATGAAACAAGATATCCTCAGGTCTGGAGAGAGCTGTGCAAGGGCTCTCAAAAAAGACCTCAATATATAGCAACATGGGACTCCATCATTTTTCCAGCAAATACTCTGCATGACTCAGAAACACTTCCTTAAGGCTATCTTTCCTCTGAAACTGAATAATATTAAACAAAACTCTACTGGAATGTGCTCTTTAAAAAGCATTTATGGATCAAACAATTTTTCTATTATATCAAGCAGAGTTTGTAAATTGTACCTTAGGTAGATGGCTCTAGGCGGAAATATTGCTTCCATGTGACTTATCTTTTCGAAAGGGACTACAATTAAAAACAGGGTTTTGTAATCCCTGAAATCCAAGTATCTCTCCACTAGGAGAGACGCCACTATGTCTCAGTGTTAATAAAAGAAGAATTCATTCTCTTTTATTTATTTATTTTCTTTAAACAATTTCTTTCTTTGCTGATAGGGCACACAGTTTGAGAGGCACAAGGAAGAACACACTGCTGCATTCAGCACATGGTTCCGGTAGAGAAAGCGCTTGTCCAGTCCTGCCCTCCCTGGTATCCAGGTGGCTCAGGAGGATGGAGAAGTGGCCCAGCACAGAGCATTTGAAGGATTGGAAGCATTTCTACCCTTCTGCTTAGGGAACTGAAGACGTGTGGTGGAACCATTCTGTGCAACAAAAAGAAACAGAAATAACAAGGCTTACATTTGCCTCACCTAAAAACCATGGTATTGTAATTCCATTCTGGGTTTTCTGTACTTATTTTCCTCTTACGTGTGATACAGCCCTCCTCTGTTATGTCTAACTGAATCCTGCAGGGCCTGTATCACTGCTTGTTTTAATGAAGAACAATTAAGCAGTTAATGTCTTCTGGAAGAAAACCTACACTCAATGTTTGCACTGCAGCTCACATTTGATGCTTGAGGGGTTTTTTGCATATTGTTTTGACTAAAAGTAATCATGGCATTGGAATGCACAGCCTGCAAGTTGTGTCAGATATATACCATGTGTCTTCTTTTTGTCTCAGTGGTCTTGTTATAACATCAATACACTTAGTTTCACATTTAGACTTAAAATACAGAGAAGGTAGATTGAAGAGCAAAGTCTTGAGGATGTTTAATATAAAAAGAAGGAATTAAATAGTGGAAAAGTGATAACTCAATACACAAAACAGAAGCTGGAAAAATGAAGGAGGAAGGATGCTTCTCTTGTCTGAAAGAGATAGAAAAAAGGAGTGACAAAAGTCAGAAATGTAGAAGATGGATAATATGATTAAATTTTAGGGAATGCAGTTTAAAAGCAAGGGCAGTAGAATGCTGGAACAGGCTTCTCCAAGAGAGCTGTAGACCACTCTCATGGGCAGACTTGACAACTAGAACCATGCAGATGTGGCACTGAGGGTCATGGTTAGCGGGCATGGTGTGGGTGGATTGATGGTTGGACAAGGTGATCTTAGTGGTATTTTCCAGCCTTAATGTCTCTATGATTCTATGCTTCAGGAATGGGCTGGGCAATCACCTATTCAGAAGGGGTTTAGGCATGCACAGCCTTGCTACAGAAAGCATGCGGTGTTGGTCCAAATAACATGGAGAAATCTGTCTGTCCTATATAATGCGAGTTGCCATCACCTCCACTTGCAGCTTGCCATACAAATGAATCAGTTCAATCCATAGCTCTAAACGTGGAAATAAAAACTTTTAAATAGGAAAAACAGCAAGCAGATTTCTGGTGTAGACAGGAATGCACTTCACGACTTGCTCCTCATTCTGTCCAAACAAGTGATTAGAAAAATTTGTGTCTGTTTCTAAAGGCTAAAACTCATTTAAACTCCACATGGCTTTCAGGTTCCCCTGGAATCTGTGCCCAGGTTCAGGATGCAGCTATTTCAAATATCCAAAGTCTGCCCACTGTCTATACTACTGTGTATCACTGTTGGTACTACTGTGCTCTACCAGATGTGCGAGGGGCAGCTGAGGGCCCTGGGTGTGCTGGGCCCGGAGCAGAGGAGCTGAGCAGAGGCCTCATGGCTGCTGCAGCTCCTCACAGGGAGCAGAGGGCAGCGCAGATCACTGCCACAGAGCCTTTGTGCTTCTGTTCTTGCTACAGCTCAGCAAAAATCTGCATCAGCACAGGCTGCATGACTTCTTATCTTGCCTGTTTTTTGTCCAGTGCTGTCACAGTGACTGGTCCCATGCACAGCTGGGAGTGGTGCCATGCACTTCCTGAGTCACATAACAGGTACACAGCATTACGTGTGTTCCTTGTGTGTTTTCTCAACACAGGACAAAGCCTTCTGTTTGGTGCAAGTTTTTTCCCTCTGCAGCAACGTTACAAATGCCTAAAGACAACCGAATGAAGCTCGAGCAGAGCTCATTTTGTGGAAGTTGAGAAGCTATGAATGTTACATAGAATTTCTATTTCTATACTGGCAGGCACCAGATGTAGGACCACCGCTGAAGAATGGATGCTGGCTGCACTGCTGCATATTTGCTCTGTCATGAGCTGAGTAAAAGATTTATTTGTACGGCAAGAAAACAAGTCACTTCCCTAACTTTGGCTTCATCAAAACTTGAAGATCAAAATAAAATGAATAAATACTATTTTATTTATACAATAGTTAATTGTTCTTAATTGAGCCACGCTGTTTTACTGTAAATGGTTAGGCCTGCAGCCTTGTGCAGTAGAGATCTTGCAGCAGCAACCACAAGCTGCAGTTTTCTGTAGCAGTGAAAACCCAGCTACAACAGACCCGTGACTGAAGCACAGAATCAGATGATCAGTTCATTCAAGATTAGTACATAGAGGTTACAAAATCCATGCAATTTCCTTCCCCTCCCTCCAAGTAGGAAGGAAAAGAAGGGATATGAGTACCTGTAAATAGGGCATGATAATGCAGACCCTTCTCTTTATCTTGATGAGAGCAGACATCAAATAAATATGCTTTGATGGGGCCATCAATAAAGTCAGCTGCAAAATCAAAAAGCACTACTCCCAGCATGGTAATGACTATTGCCCATGTCCGCTGCTTGTCTCTTTCACCGATGAAAGCTACAAAACCAAAAAGACTCTCATTGTGACAGCAATACTGCTATGTTTCACAAAACCTCATTTTATCCTTCCAGATTCCTCCAAATCTAAACAATGCTTAGCTATGCATGAGGGACCAGTGATACCAGATTGGCATCTGACAAGTGGGATAACTGGATTTTGAGTCTGTGCAGCACTGAGCTGTGCTAGCTCTCTTTGAGCCATGGATCAGCAGAATCACAGAATCACAGAATGGCCAGGGTTGGAAGGGACCTCAAGGATCAGGAATCTCCAAAGCCCCCTGCCAAGGCAGAGCCACCAACCTCCCCATTTAATACAAAACAACCTGTGAAAACACGCTCCTCCCCCTGAGGAGGAGCCACCAGTCACAACAACAGCAACAATTTTCCAACAAGTCTTTGAGAAGTAACATCTCAAGCTGAACTAGAACAGTGCCTAGGGATGTCAGTCCTATTGGATTTGCACATTCCAGGTGCATTGTTTTCATGGAGTTGTGACTTCTACTGTTCATCAGCATGACACATTCCTGAGTCAAGCCAGTGCTGCAATAATTTAAGATAAATGTTTTGAATGTTAACTCAAGTAAAATAGGAACTAACACTGATTTAGTTAGGATGCATACTACATCATATGAGCAATATCAATCACTTAACACAAGAAGGCAAATTTTAGCTATCAAATACATCTCTGGGCCTAAGCAGTGCTTCACTGTATGAACTGATCAGGCAGAGGTCAACATATAATACTGCAATCACATGCACGAACTACTGAACATTACGTACAGGGTATATAACATGCAGCATTAGGATTGAACATAAACAGACTGCAGTGTTCTTAAGCTCCTTCAGTGCAGCTCAGTAGTGTGATACCCAATTTTAACGCCCAATTTTAAAAGGAAAAAAAAAAAGATCCCCATCCTTCTTTCCAATTCAGAGCAGTAGGGTAAGTTTTGTCTGTCACCAGCACATTCCCCTCACTTACCTGAGACCATCTCGTCCCCATTGAGGTACAAAGCCATGCCTACCAGCATTATGATGCCCAGACCCAGAATGTAAGGTCGCCTCCTGCCCCAGCTACAGGCGCAGTGATCACTGGCAGAACCTACCACGGGCTGCAGCACGAAGCCCAGGATGGGGCTGATGAGCCACACCAGGCTGTACAGGTTCTTGGGCAGCCCTACACTGAGCAGCACCGGCGTGACAAAGGCAGCCTCCACAGCATAGCAGAACTCCCTTCCAAACATCGCCATGCTGTGCATGATCAGCCTTCCTGTTGCTCGCTGCTTGGGCACCAGCACTCCAGTCCTTGCCGTGGAGAGGTGCACAGCCTTCTCCTTCCCTCCTGAGACATCCATGTCTGCCTTGGCCGCGTCAGAAGGGTGTGGAGGAGACTCCTGAAAGCTCTGTTCCATTAAGGTCATTGCTCTGGCTATGCACAGCACTCGGGCAGGTCAGTGCTGCCTGGTGTGGCTGACATGGAGCCCTGATCATATGCCGGGTGCAACTGCTCTGTTCTGGGGGAGGGACTCACATACTTTCATGGCTCCGCGATCACAAGTTATGAAGGAAGGGGGCGGGGAAGTCTGTGTTAACATTAGCAGTTCTGTGCTCTAGGGCGTTTGCAGAGCTCCCAACTATCCTAGACTAATGGGAACACACATCACATGGGAGAGATGCAGGATTAGCCTGACACAAAGCCAGTCATTCCTTTTACTGCTGCAAGTCAGTGGTGCCACCAAGAATGAGGAAACCTCATCTTTTCATTCAGCGAGAGTGCTGACCTGCTGCAGGCAGGGACATAAAAAGGCAAACATCCAGGAAAGATTTCAACAGACTCGAAGAAGAAGACCTACCTGTTGTTCTAGAGTGTCAACAGCAAACAAAAAGCTTGATAGAAATCTGTCAAATCTGGCGAATATTTTTGTATCTGTTCTGTGCTACTCTCAGTACAACTGACTATTCTGTCCATTTCTGAAAAGCAAAGTGTATTGTGATGACTGAATGTTTTTTTTTCTTTCTGGAAGCCTTACTAGGCACACATATATTTGGAAAGCAAACAGAAGGCTTTTAAAGAAATCTACAGCAACATACCCAAAATCCCACCGCTTCAGGTGAGCCACCTGACTGAGGCAGCTAAAGTTAATGGCAGTTTTTGTAACACCACCAAATTTTGGATCAGAACCTAAGTGTGCTGAAGATCATGCTTGGCTATATTTACTCTGCTCCAATACAACCAGATACATATGACTCTAAGCAAATTCTCAGATCTTAGTGTGGAGCAAGGAGTTGGATTTGATGATCGCTGTGGTCCACTCTGACTCAAGATATTCTATGACGATGTGGTAATGCAATGGTATATAACATTCTAATTCATCAAACTGATTACAAATGGGAAACTTAAAATGCTTTTAATAATTGTTAACTAATCTGTCAATGTCTACTAGATAATTCTTGCTTCCATTCAGGTGTTTGTGCAATATAAAAATGAATGTAAAAAGTCTTTTTGTATAGTAGTAATGCAGACACTTTGCCATGACAAATGTAAAATAAAGTGTATCTCAGCTTCGGAAACCTTCACAAGCAACCAGCCTATCTTCAGCAAGATTGAAAAATGACCAAAATTATTTAAAATAACAACCCTTTGTGTCAAAATTCTTCACATACTGAACTAAGGAGGATTATATTTAAATCCACATATAACTAATTATTGTAAATATATATAATTTGTGTTGAAGGAGAAAAGAACGTTTCAAATTACTAATTTTGAAGGAAATAACAACCACTACAGTATAACCTTTGTTTAAAACCTGTGCAACTACCCATGCCTTTCATTTTTCCAGAAAGAAAGTAAAATATCAACATTTGGCAGATATTTTACAATGAGAAATTTATTTCCAAAATTATTTTTAGGCAAACTGGGATGCTGAACATAATACTATCAGGAGACTGTATTAAGAAAACATAGACAGGATATTAAATACAATTACTTTATCATAATAACTCTGTAGCAACACAAGGAAACAGCATTACTTGGATCATTGTTTTGGTATGATAAGGTAAATCAACCAATATGATAAGATTCCCATTAATGTATGAGTAAAGAATCATCTGCTTAGTAAGCATTTAACTGTATTTTAAGAATAGAATTGCCTTCATTTAATTATGGCATACATTACAAAGGAACAGTTTAACTATGAGTTAAAAGAACCAAAAGTTTCACAGGATATACTGTTTAAAAAAGTATTTTGAGGACTTACATCTGCTTACTATGACAAACAGCACAGAACTTCAGAACACATTTTTGGTGTCGCTGTAGACAACAAACCATCCAGGTACACAAATACAGAACTCCCAGTATTCTCCATTAGATTTAAAACTTCATTTATTATTCATTCATATATTATTATTAATATTCATTTAAAAGAAACAGCACACAAATATTCATTTGTCATGTAATTCAATACATTAAATCTTACTGCATTAGCCCAAAGTTCATCTGATTTGCATAATCAGGTTATAAATTAGCTTTTAGTTTGTTGGATTCTATTACTTTATCAGAATAAAGTTTTGCAATCTCTTCCTGAGTAAATCCATATTCTAGAAGTACCTCTTCTGTGTGCTCGCCTATAAAAGGATCTCTTTCAAATGATGGAACAGCAGGGGTCCTTGAAAGAAGAGGAGCAGGTCTAGGACTTATCTCTTCCTGATCATTTTTGATAAAAGAACTCCTTTGTTTGTTATGCTGATGTAAGGGAGCATCATCAAAGGATAGAACGGGGGTCACACAGGCATCAGATCCATCAAATATACTGCACCATTCACTTTGTGTCTTCTGTGCAAAGATGGATGCAAACTTTTTCTTCATTTCAGGCCAATCAGAGAAACTCAACTGATTGGGAAGTTTACTTGAATCCAGCCCAAGACCTGAAAGGAGAAAAGCAGAACAACTTAGCTTAGATAAAATAAAGTGCTGCCCCTACATAAGTACGTCTATCAATATCCTATTATTTTGCAGACAGTCCAGTGCAGCATGTCATACTAACTGAAAAAAATATCACTAGGATACTGATGACATAGGTGAGGGAGCAGAAAAATAAAATGTTACATGATTTCCAATTAGAGCAAACAGTATTTAACTAAGTTCATCCTTTTTATAGACACTTCAGAGGTAACACTTCGTCCTGAAAACATTTTCTGGAATAGATACTGTGCTATCTACTAGGAAGTACAAAACTCTGCTGACTGGGTTGAGGGATGCAGCAATGTACTTATGACTCAGAAGCTGTTAAGAGTCCAAAATCATTGAGTATTTCCATGCTAGAGTTGAGAAGACAGTGAGGATGGATATGGTCAGGCTCAATGCGAATGATACAGCTTGGCTGTGGGTGGATACAGGCTAACTGATCCGCTTCTCAGACCCACTCAGTCCAAATGGGCTCCAGCAGCATCCACTGCTTTCACCTCTCCAGCACTTCCTAGGCTCAGATTCTTCTGCTTTTGCTCTTAAACTTTCCCCCCCTAACTGCTTAAGAACCCAGCTTACCAGGTCAGTCGCACGGGCTACCTAGGTATACAATACACACAGCCCTTCTGAGACACAACAGTTTGGTATGTAGGCTTTGTACTGAAAATTTTCTGAACTAAGGGGTCCTAAGCCCTTCTCCCAACTAGGCATCTCTTTCTTTCTCAGTGTGGAGGTTCAGATCTCTCTTTTGCAGCAATTTCTCATCTCTATTTCTGTTCTCACGTATTCTGCTCTTTGTACTCCATACTCCTACTTGAAGGAGATGGAATAATTGCTAACATTTCTTCTTAATGAGAAGCAAAAAAGAAATAAGAAACAAGAAACATAATTAACCTGTACTTCCAGTCTACATCAAACAGAATTCAGAACTGGTACATAGAAGGTTACTCAAAATGATCACATGCTGAAATTTAACAGCTTCAATGAAGCAGACAAAATGCAGAAATCGCGTACAGGACAGAAGTTAATCTCAGAAATGAAGAATGGCTTGAGAGCAATTATATCATAATACTTTAAAACAAACAAAAAACTGCTCTGTGCAAGAGACAGAGAAAATGTGGAGCTCTGGAAAATTTTGGTTTCAAGCCATCCTTTCATCTTTTGATACAGCTACTATCAGAACAATGATCTGATGTGCAACTGTCAACAAGCTTATGTAACAGATGTTGTTTGCGTGTAGCATCTATACACAACTCCCATCTTCAGCTGCAGATAGGAAAAAAAAAAAAAAAGAAAACAGCAACATTTCTGTATCTTGCACTATTTCTACAACTTTGTTATCACTGAAAGGAGTGGAAATGCAGCTAAGAGGAACATAAAAGAGAAGAAAAGAAAACACCTTCTTTCTCATTCCTCAGAATCTCCACCATATGCATTTCTTGGGCCTCTCAGTTGCCTCCAAATTACAAAGCTAATATGAAATGGTGCTGCTCGCAAAATTCTTAAACAGTAATTTTAAAATGAACACATGCTTCTAAATCTTACTTTGATACTGCAAAATATAGCACAGAAAATTGCTAATGTCCAGATGCAGAAATATAGTAGTTCACATTTAGAAGAAAATCAAGACAGCCAAAGGCAGAATAATAATGTTCCCATCAAATTAGAGATTCCCAGGAATACTCCATTATCTACTATTACACGATAAGCCTTGGTCCTTATCAAGTCACAAGGTCACATGCACCTTAGATCACTAATATTATTCCTAGCCATTCATATCATAATAGGATAGCTACTCACATAAAAGGATTAAGTACTCACAGTGGTTAAGTATCCATAATTAAATTGAACCTAATGATCCTTACAAAACAGAGTTGATCATTTAACTGAGAATGAACAGTGTGAGACGGTTTACTTAAGAACTAGGAGGTGATTTAAGTTTACCTTCCACAACAGGTGGAAATCTAAGTAACAGTATACTACCTGAGACTCCGTCCCAATGCCTAAAATTAGGTCAACTGGGAACATTGTCTGGTTAGCATCAATATGCTTATTGATTTTGCTTTTCATTCTACCATTCCGTCCAATACAAATAAAGATATACCGTTATCCCATTACACAATTACATCTGGAGACTGTGCCAGATGGAAAGTTGGCTGAATCTAACCACACATCCTCTAGTAAAACAGAACAATATGCAGAACCTAGAATTTAATATTACACGCTCATTTTCCAAGGGCCACTGAAGACCTCAACTTTAAATAGTATGAACTGACAACACTTAAGCACCAAAGCCTCTCATTTTCCAGCTTGTGCTAATCATTCGTGGTGCAGATGAAGAGAACTGCAGCAGGAACAACTGAGTCAACAAGGAAACAATTACACAGCACAGAATTGTTTGGGATACCGCAAAATGACATATTTCACCCAAAATAATCAAAAGCAAAATATCCTTTTCACAGAGTATCTGG